TTTTAAACATCGCCCAAATTTCATGAATGAGAAGTAGTCAAAATCACTAATTTGGCCCCCAAGGGGACCCCCCCTGAAACTTTGCTAAAAAGCGCCGAGACAAAAAACAAAATGTGTTTTGGAAATAACCTTGGAAGGGCACACTCACACACAAAGTTTGAAAGAAATCTATTTTTTCACCCAAAATGGTTATGAGGTTCTTACAGAGACAGCCTCTTAAACAAATATGTTAAATCAATGCAGCCAGTTGAGTTATTTTTGGTAGCAAATATCTTAATTTTCGTAAAACATTGGTTAGATTTTGAAATGTAGTCCATTGTAGGGCATACTGCGAGAACAAAACTGATACTATTTATGTGAATATACGAATCACAGAATACTATAAACTAGCATACTGTTACATTATGCAATAAGAAATAACAACCAGTTGGATATTTTCAAGTTGCGTTAAGAGTGACGTCAATAAAATGCAAARTAGATTCTTCAAAAAAATCTTCACGGTGATTAGCGATAGCGTGCGCACCTGTTGCGTATGAATTATAGCGCAAAAAGAATTGTTGGTCACGAGCATATTTTGCGTTGCAATCCCCGTGGAGTGGGTCGATACCAAAGGAAGATTCTTCATTGATTTGACCTCCCTTTTGTCTGTATTCCTCTACTACTTCAGCTGCAGATGGTACTTGACTGGGCAACAGTGAGCGGCAACGGAAATTATCTCGAAAACGGATTTCAGGAACCCCTTTACCTAATATGAAAAACAAAACTTAATTTAGAAATTTTAAAGTGCCGGTGCAATTAAGAAAAACTTTATCCCTTATCAAGTGAAACAAATATCTGATTACCTGGTATTGTCCTCGTGTTCCAGGCGTCAATGGCATTTTGTACTGAAATTCTGCACGTTGCTAATAGAAATTCAGAAATGCAATACTTAATGTATTCGTCCTCCATGTCTATCATGTCTCTATTTTTCATGGCGACGAGTACCCTTTTTATRGGGTAGGTGCTCCTGTGATTGATTTCGACCCATAGTCTCTCTACAGTATGATTCTGAAAAAATATGTAGCCCATTATCGTGTTGGCACAGGAGGGTAGTTGTTATTCACCGCGGGGTTTTGGGGGGGGGGGGGGGGGGGGGTTTTTTTGTTTTTGTTTTTATTTCTATTTTTTCCGTTCGATGAGAAATAATCCCTCACTTTTCTTACCTACCTGTTTTGATTGTGTCTGGAGAAATGGTTGCCTCGTAGTGTTTGTTCTAAGATCACTTAATKTATTCTGTTGATACAACACGAGGTAGAATTCTCGACCACAGTCTACCCTAACTTGATCCCACAGACCATACTGTAAACATGCTGATCTGAGTTTAGAAAAACAGACATGAGGTGATGGAATATCAAAATCAGAAAATTCTGGATATCAGTTTTTTTCTGCGCTCTCTTTTTATATTTTCTTCTCGCATAACTAGCCACGCTGGATATATTAAAATTCAAGCAAAAATACCAATGCGATAACATATCAAAATTGCCTTCAAACTCCAAAAGATCTGTTATCAATACAGTGATACACTTTTTCGTATATACATGAAGTACTATGTGAAAAAGGCCTGACAATCAACTGAATGATTGAAAAGGCTCCAAGACAAATTCCTTTTAAAATGTTTATCKAACATTTATAGTCTTTACCTACGGTAGCCGAGAACGGACATAAAAAAGTCAAAATCAAAAATGTCAAAAGTTCAAAAGTCAAAGTGATTTAGGACCATATTACAAAGTGAGTTTGTCTTTTAAATCAATTTCCTATTGTTATTTTGTCACAAGACATTTTGACATTTCGTCTCAAGCGACTTTATCGTCCAGCATTTTGTCATGCAAGTCTTTCGCTGTTCACATTTTATCGTCCAGCATTTTGTCATGAAAGACTTTCGCTTTTGACATTTCTCCGTTTGGCCTCCGACATTTTGTTTTCAGGCGATTTGTCAAACGACCAAAAGCAAAACAGCGAAAAGTCAAACTCAGATTCAAAGCTCCCAGGCGTTCCTATTAATAAATAAAGGTAACCCACGCTATGTAGTACGCGTGCTACTCTAGTCAACGCCCCACGTGCGGCTCTTTCGCCGATTCGAAAACCTCTACTTCTAAGAAGTCCTGTAAACATTCGCCTTCTATACGTTGGACCAACATTAACGAGGTAAATTAAGGCCTTTTAAATATAGCAGAGGTCACACATCCTATCCAATAAGCTACTTAATGCTATACTTACTTCCAGTAGTATACAAATGAGAGTTCTGCGCCACGGCGCCTATTGTTCTTTTTGCGCCGCCTATTGTTCTCTGGCGCCGGTCTAATTTTCAGGCAAGGGGAGGGGTGGTCTACGATCAACCATCACGGGAAGACCGGTCGATGGTCCGACCAAAGGTTACTACCGGAATCGGGGTGGGATATAAAGATTTCAGGAGTTTTTAGATAAAATTCAAAATCCTTTGTTTCAGCAAGAGGTGATTTTATGAATTAATGAGTGATAGCTTTTGAATCARTGAGCTCAAGTTTATGGTCTAATTTTCAGGGAAGAGGAGGGGTGGTCTACATTCAACCATCACGGGAAGACCGGTCTATGATCCGGCCARARGTTYCTACCGAAAKTGGGTGGGATATAATGATTTCAGGAGTTTTTTAGATAAGATTCAAAATCCTTTGTTCGAGCAACGGGTGGTTTGATCAAGATGAAAAGTCGCGTTTATGAATTAATGAGGTGGTCTCTTTGAAAATCTTGTTTGATCAGTGTTGATTGATACTTCATCAACTATCATGTTTTGTTTAGAAATATATAAAAACCTCAGCTACACTCAAATCCTTCATTCAGTTCACATGTGGTGGGAGCTCATGCTACTTTCTATCATCCCTTTGATCTACTGCTGGGTACGAGACTCTTATCGCTGTCCGCTTTGGTTTATCCACGAACAAGATCAAGATGTGCAGTTCCATAGCTCAAAGCATTTCATGTGTAGACGATGCGGTGGTTATGATTGTCAGTGATGAAGTGGAGACGGTTGCAAGAGTTAAGATTCAACAAGTTCTCGAGTTCCTTTATGTAGAACTTTGTCAAAGAGAGATGATGAAACTTTTACTCAAAGGCTGTGAGGGATGTGAAAAACACTGGCCCAGTCAGCGTGACCACGTCTGTATGATGACCAGTGATGATGAGCTATGGTCATTTTACTTTGAAGACCTCAAGAATACGATTGATTTAAACATGATACGAGATGTTTGTGCAAATCTTGTTAAACTGGTAGAGATGCCAATGTCCTCAGAATGGGAGGCTTTTGTTTTTAATTTACCAAGCATGACCTCTAGCGTGGCAATGATGATAGCAAGTGATATGTCCTTCCCCGATAGATACGAGAGACCAATTGTAAATTTTGTCAACGATATGTGTGATGTTAGGCAGAATAGTCGAGGATTATCGTCAGAAATATTTAATGAGTTTGTAATTGCCATTTCAAATTGAATAAATTCAGAGTTTCTTTTTATTAAGATTCAGTGATTATTCSACTTCGAGGGGTGAAGACATGGGTTGTGGGTGCTTGAGCTCTATTCCCAACTTAACCTTTCGAGATATTTTCCGAAAAGTTCGTTGTGTTCTTGCCTGCTGTGGTGGTAAGGTGGTGATTGAAAACTCTCAAATTGATGGACAACCACGAACTGCTGGAAAAGTCGTATTACAACCTGAAGCAAGGAGGAAGTCTCGGAAGCGTAGATGCCTTATTCCRTGCTGCCAAAAAGAAGAACAAGAAGATCACTAAGAAACAAGTTCGAGAATGGTTGAAAGGACAGCGTGTGTATTCCCTCCATCGACCGGTTCAAAAACACTTTCGCAGAAATCGTGTTATCGTTGGATCGATTGATGATGTATGGGAAATAGATTTGATTGACATGCAATCGCTTAAGATGTACAATAGTCATTACAGATTTATGCTCACTTGCATTGATGTCTTGTCCAAGTATGCATGGGTGGTTCCAATCAAAGACAAATCTGGCCCAACTCTAGTAAAGGCGTTCAAACAAGTCTTAGATGAGTCTGGCCGAAAACCCAAAARGATTCACTCCGAYCGTGGAAGTGAGTTTACGAACAAGAATTTCCAGACCTTTCTGAAAGAAAGGAACATTGGATTTTATCATACGTTTAATGAGACAAAAGCCAGCATCATCGAGCGTTTTAACAGAACTCTAAAACAACGAATGTATCGGTATTTTACATGGAAAGGAACTCTAAAATACTTAGATGTCCTACCTGAGATTGTTAATGCATACAATAATTCATATCACCGAAGTATCCAGAGAACTCCAAGGTCAGTTAGTAAGAGTAATGAAAGTGAAGTGTGGCGAACTCTTTATGGTGACACAGTGATGCGGAGACCGGCCTATAAGTTCCAKGTGGGAGATCATGTACGAATTTCCAAGTCAAAGAAACTGTTTGAAAAGGGGTATTTACCCAAATGGAGTGAAGAGATTTTTACCATTTTTAAGCGAATCCCTCGAAACCCACCTGTTTATAAGGTGAAGGAGTTTGATGGAGATRAGTTAGAAGGAACCTTTTATGAACAGGAATTGCAGAGAGTGCAGACTAGAGGGGATGAAGAAGTGTACAAGATAGAAAAGATCTTGAGAACACGTAAAAAAGGAAAACAAAAGGAATACTTTGTGAAATGGCTTGGATACCCAGATAAATATAACAGTTGGGTTTCAAGCACTGATTTTGAATAAAGTTTATTAAACGACTGTYTTGTGTCCATTTTCTCTYKGACCACCATGACGRCTAGTCAGTTTTACATTACTCTGCCCAGTAATAGCTCTATGGCTATATTTCCTAATAACACTCTTGCGGAATACAWAGTCAAACTCCCTGAACGTCTGAATTTGGTGGGGGATTGGGAAGTGGGTCTGGCTTCCATTGCCTTCCCTCGCACGTGGTTCCACATTAGGATGGAAAACCGGAAGTTCTACTACGATGGTGGAGACGGAGTATGGACAGTAGGAATCATTCCAATGGGGTACTATAAGTCAATCCAAGAAGTCACCGACGCAATAGACACTGTCCTCTCCAACGATGGAATAAAGGATATTTCTTTTACTGTGGATGATTTATCGCAGAAAGTAACCGTGACTTTGAATGCGGGGAGAAGACTCRGTTTCGAGAACGACCTGGGAGTGATGCTTGGATTCGGCAATAARATTATCCTCACCAAAACTACGACTGCGCCCTACGTGTCTGATCTGAATATCGGCCTCCAGTCTCTGTTTGTCTACTTGGACGTACTGGATATGCAAGTCGTGGGAGATGCGAGAGCTCCTCTTTTGCGCATCGTCCCTGCAGGCGGTAAGGATGGGGAAGTCGTTACCAAGGATTATGAGCACCCCCAATATATGCCGCTAGCTACGCGAGAATTTGAAACTTTAGAAGTCCTTATAACCGACGACTCGGGAAATAAAGTACCATTTCAACGTGGACGTGTGGTGATAACGTTACACTTTAGACTTCGTCAATCCCCGTATTTTCGATAAGATGAAAAACCAACGAGGAGCTGGACACATGATGGTCTTTCACGGTGGGCGTTTTCAAAAAGGATATGGACAAGTGGGCTATGGGCTGGGTTCGTTTTTCCAATCTCTAGCTAGAAGTGCTATGCCTTTTTTGCAAAAAGGAGCTCAATCCTTGGGCAAAGCAACCCTTGATACAGGTGTGAATATTGCAAAAGACGTTTTAGCTGGAAACAACCTAAAAGACTCAGCTCAAGCTAGATTACGACAGACGGCAAAGAATATGAAAGACCAGGCTTTTAACCACATCACCTCTCAAGTGGGAAGTGGAAGCTCGAGACGTAAAAAAGGTTCAAAAAGAAAGGCTTCACAGAATAAGATCAGTCTACCACAGACGGGCAAAGCGAAAAGAGCTAGGATTACTCTTGAAGATACAGATATTCTTGGACGTTAAGATGGCCTTTGTACACCCTCATTCCACTCCATGCATGAAAAGTGAACTGGATTTATTTACCATACCACCCACCCAAGTTGTGATTGACAGCAGTCAATGGATAGAATACCAGCCCATTTCTACCATTTCTTCTACAGCACCTATAGAATTTCAAATAACGGKGTCGGAAAATTATCTGGACTTAACAAAAACTATGCTATTTATCAAGCTGAAAATCACCAAAGCCAATGGCGGGAACCTGACCGCGGATGAAAAAATAGCCCCTGTCAACAACTTTTTACAAAGTCTGTTCAAGCAAATAGATGTATTCCTCAACGGAATCCAAGTGACGCAATCCACCGGCACCTATAGTTACAAAAGCATGCTGGAGACACTTCTGAACTATGGTTTCTCAGCCAAAAAGTCACACCTCACAGCGGGGCTTTATTACAAAGACACGGCAGGAGCCATGGATGAAACTGATTGCACCAACGAGGGAGAGAATAAAGGACTTCAGACCCGCTATTCCTTCACCAAGGAAAGTTATATCGTGGACTTGTGGGGCCCCCTACACTGTGACATGCTGTTCAGTGACCGTCTTCTTCTAAATCACGTGGACGTCACCATCAAATTAAACCCAAATAATGCAGCCTTTGCGTTGATGTCAGGGGAAACCTCCCCCAATTACAAGATTGCCATTCAAAGTGCTAATTTAAAGGTACGGGCAGTGAAAATAAGCCCCACCCTCCAACTGCAACACTTGACCGAGCTGAAGAAAGGTGTGAATGCCATTTACCCTGTCARGAGAACCGACTGCAAGACCTACACCATACCCTCAGGAAATCCATCCATTCATAGAGGGGATTTATTCAATGGACAAGTCCCTAAACGGGTGGTGCTAGCCATGGTCGATTCAGACGCATTTAATGGAAGTTRC